AGAAATGGGACACATAACTGAGAGTGCGCCTTTTAGTACGGTGCGCCTTATGGTCGTGAAAATACGGTACTTTTCCAAGCTATTGGCTGTATTTAGTTTGTGAAAGGCATTAAATGCCTAAAATTCACTTTTTTTATGAAGTAAAATCTGGCTGTTTTATAAATTTGATTAAAACCAATCCAACTGTTTGATAATCCAAGAAAAATGAGTCATTGCTCTACCCTCTAACTGTCTGCCTGTTTTCTCCCAGCGAGCTCGAGCCTTGGCTGCTTCTGGCCCCGTCTTCTCAGCTTTCACCCCTCAGTCCATCCTGCGCAGCAGCCTGAGACCTACGCCTGTTGCTACTCCTTCTGCTTCTCCAGGGCGCTCCATCACCCCCCCTTTGCGTAGCAAAGAGAGCCGCATCACTTTCATTGAAGAAGCCGAGACTCCTGAAACCGAGAAGGAGATCCGATGGACCAACGGGGTAAATGCAAGTTATGATGAGCATCGCAGCTCAGCTTTAACGGATCTATTGTTTGCCTTCTGGATGAATCTTTTTTTGTAATCTGCATGTTGTCTTTGTGCTTCTGTTTAGATGGCAGCAGAAAGTGAGATCAGCCAGCTAAGCAGAGGCTCCAAAGCTACAAACAAGAGCTGGTCTTTACGAACTGCTAAAGAGGAAGATGGGGAGGAAGGCCAACATCCTCGTGTAAAGTTCCTACCTCCAGAAGGCGGTTTTACCTCACCACAACTTAGGTGCTCTGGGAGTGAGCCATCACCCATTCAGGAAGAGGCTGCAGAGGGAAGTCAGGCACATGCCAGTGTGAACTTAGACACCAGCCAGACCTCTGTTCAGTCAGTAGACACCACTCTAGAGTATTATGATGCTCCTCTATCAGTTGACCCCAAAGGAGCAAAGAGGTTAACTTTCGCAGAGGATGATGATGACGATGACGATGTGGTGACATTCAACATCAAGCCTGTGACTGAAAAAGAATCAGAACAAAGTTTAGAAAAGACTCCAGAGCAGAGCTTTAACTTCCTTTCAGAGAAGCAAGAGGAGATTTTGAAGGCATCAAAAAGCTGTGAGGAGGTGATTGAACAAACCTCTGGTCAGAGGGCACATGAGGAAGATCTAAACACTGCCTCCGTGAGCAAACAAGACGATACTGTAAGCCTCGACATGGAGGAACAAACTGCTCACCATGAAGGTATGTTTTGTCTTAGAGCTGCTGATTTCTTTTCTTTATATACAAAAAGGTTAGACACTTTCTAAAAGAACACAAAAAAGGTTTGCAGTTCTTTAACAAATTCTCTGGTAAATTTTGCACGGTCCAGTTGATAACCAGGTGACTGAGGTCTCGGACTCAGAGGTCAGATATGAGGAGCAGCAAGTTAAAGATGCTGAACCAGATGCTGAGTGTGAGACCGCTGAGTTCAGCATTGAGCAACCTAAACCATCTCAAGAAGGAAAAGCCACAAACGATCAGGAGAAGACAACAGGTATGCATAAATATTGAGGAGTGACATGTCATTAACCATCTTCATTTCCTGAATTTAATCTTTGTTTTCCCATACATGTGTTCTAGTGTTGAACTTGTGTGTTCTGTAGAAAGTTAACTGAACTGGTTATTGTTTCCCTTTAGATCTGACAGAGTTTGTTCAGCAGCACCTGTTTGGTGATGACCCGTCGCAGTCTTTCAGCGACTCAACGATCCACAGCACGTTACTGAGCCACACGTCCTTACCCAGGTCTGTACGCCTCGCATAAAACTGAGACATTGCTGTTCAAAAAGACTGGGATATAGTATTTGTGGGGAGTGGCGGCCTAATGGTTAGAGCATAGAGCTTGGAGTCCTGAGGTTGTGAGTTTGAAACCCACTCCCACAGACTGCCACTATGGGTCCCTGAGCAAAGACCCTTAACCCACCACTCTGCTCTGTTCTCTATGGGGATGGGTTAAATGCAGAGAGTGAATTTCGTAGCGCTGTACTTTTGACAGTGTAATGACAATTAAAAAATAGAAAAAGAATTTGTGATTTTTTTCTAAATAAACCTATACAGTGATATTTAAAGTGTTTAATATTTATTGTCACTTTAAATGGCTTCCACTGAATGAAAAACCCAAATTCAGCTTTTCAAATTCAGAAAGGTTTTAATAGTGCATGAAAAGCAAAAAAAATAGACTAACTGTTGAAAGTACAGCTGACAATTAAATTAGTAAACTGTAACTAAGCCCAGGTTACTAAAAAGGTGTCTTATGTTTTCTCTGTTGCTGAGTCTAATGTTCTGGTCTCATTAATGCATGCTTATTAATTCAAGAATGTTGATCAATAGCTATTAAAGCATTTATTTGCCTTTGGTAGTGGAAGTGGGAAAATGAAGTCTGGGTAAAGTTTATTAGCAGAAGCCAGAATTAAAGGCTTTAAGGTTAAACATAATTACCACCTGTGGAAACTCCACTCAGGATCCAAAAAAAAACGGACCTGTGCCTCAGATTCTGGAGAATACTATGAAAATTTATTTAAAGTTTTTTTTGTTTGTTTTTTATCTGGAACTTTGGATTACCAAGAAAAAGTTCACATTTTTTGACTGGGCCCTAAATAACTGAAAGAACTTAAGCAAACATTTTAACATTGTTTGTTCATGTTCATTCAGCTCCTCATGAACTACCATCACAGCCAGACAGCTTTCCCTTAATGTGAAGATTCAGATCTTTACTGCTGGATTGTTATTTTTCATAAACTTAGAATCTGGTTCTCATTAGCTTTAAGCAAAGGTCATCAAACTAAAATTAGATAAACTAATGAATGTATAAGTTTCACTGCCTGCATTTAGTTTTCTCCAATAGGTTAACTTTATAATGTAGTAAATAATTTTCCTCTCTAACCACCACTGTTCCAGTTCATGCTTATTTTGCACCGTTTTTAAGTCAGTTACATAACCTGCTGCTGTCATTTTGAACATCTCTGATGTTGCTGCTATTTTCAAATATCCATTACTGTAAAAATATCCATAGCTGTATATTGGTTATTCTTCAGGTGCAAAGCTTTATATTGTTAAATCATTTTATAGTACAGTATTTTATTTGTTTTTTAACTTTTTAACTATTATACACTTCTCTAAGGTCCATATTTGTGTGACCATTTTTTCTATAATCATTTTGCTGCTTTAACATAAATTTCCTCATTGTGGAACAATAAAGTGACTTTCCATTCTATTCCAAGAGGAACTGTTATTTTCCTGAACTTTTACCGCATTAGATTAATTGTTTAAAAGACATAATTGCATAGTAATGAGCTAAACATTTAGTGCTTTTGATTCAGTATTTGCCATCCTCTTGCAGCGAGCTCTTAGGGGAGGTTGAAGAGGAGCAGCAGCCAGCGGCTGTAGATCCCCCGATCATCACAACACAGAAATCCACCATTTCTGTCACCTCCTCAGAACCAACAGGCACCGACTCTCACTGTAAGGAAAATTAAACACTGTCAGTTTTCTGGTATTCCTGTTCAATGCCCTAATTGTTTTATTTGTGCTCTCCTAGCTGTGGTGAGTGTGAATGATAGTGAAGAATTATCCAGCCCTGCATCTGAGGAGGAGGAGGAGGAGTCATCATCTAATCAAGCTGAGGAGGAAGAGGGAGAAGATGAGGAGGAGGAAGACGAAGAGGAAGACTCCGGTAGTGAGGTGGAAATAATCGATGAGGTTCAGGGTAACGGGAGGCTGCCACCACTACTGCCCAGTTCAGCCTTCATGAGGCAGGAACACAGTCCCTTCCTGCAGGAGCTGTCAGAGCAGCAGACCGCTGAGTTCTCTCTGATCACTCCTGGTGCAGAGATGAAGGTAAGAACCGGAGACATGAAACCTTCACAGATCACATTGAAGTCCAATAACAGCTTCATACGAAGTTGTTTATCTTGAATGTGTTAACAGATCATAGAGGAGGACATAGAGGGCGAGGTGGTGATGGTAAGACTGGGTGAGGAGGAGGGAGGGATGGATCCAGTCGCAAACGTGGAGCAGAGATCATCATACATGGAGCTCCAACCTTCAGCTACCCTACTGGTCCCCTATGAGTTCATGGAAGGACAGCAAGGCCTGATGGAAGGAGCTCAGACCGGCATGGTGGCCGAGGAGCAGCAGCCTGAAACTCAAACCAACTTCACACTAATGCTGGAAACGGAGGAGGATGGAGGGAAGGAGTCGTCGGCTGTCAGGAGTGATCTGCCTGCAGCTGAGCCTCCTGCTCAGCCTGAGTTGGAGAATCAAGACCTTGTAGATGAACCCGACATCATTCCTGTGGAAGCGGATAATATTGATGAGGCTTTACAAGAAGAAGAAGAACAGAGAGAGACAGAAAATATGGATCAAAATGATGATGATGAACTGGGAGAAGCTGAAAATATCAAAGCTGATCCGCAGACTGAGATTACTGCTGAAACACTGGAGACGAGAGACTCAGCTGAACAAAGAGATTTCAAATTGGAAGAAATCAGAAGACTCTCTGAAGATGAAGAATCTGCTTCTGTTTCAGTTCCAGGAGAACCTCCAGCTGCTGTTAATGATTCAAAGTCTGCCGCAGAAACAGAAGCTGTTGAGGAGGAGGAAGAGCATCAGCAACCAGTGTCTGGTGAAGTGCAGCTGCCTGATAGGAACGGACCTGTTGAAACAGTGCAGGAAGAAACTGAGTTTGCTGCGGAGAACAGGAAGCTTGACCTCCAAACATCACATACTGAGGAAGAAACAGAGGAGAAAACCAGGAGACGACTTAGGTATAAAGATGTTGAAGAGGAACCTGCAGAGCAGCTTGTTTGTTCAGAAAGCCAAACTGAGAAACAAACCACAGCCTCTCAGAGAAAGAAAGCTCCTTCTACTCCAACACGGAGGATGACGAGAGGAAGGAACGTCACTTTCACCTCTCCGCTCCCAGAGGCGGCAGACGAGCCAGAGCAAGACGGAAAAGCAGTGATAGAAAAAACGAGAAGCGTTGTTCCAATCTCGCCTGCTCGTACGCCTAGGAAAGGTAAAGCGATCCAACCCGTCACACCTCGTAGAAGTACTCGCAAAACTCATGCAGAGCCTCCTGAGGAGGAGCCTGCAAAGGTTGAAACAGAGATATCAGTTGTGTCAACCTCCAAGAAGGCTTCCCCAAGCAGACGATCACAAAGAGCCGCTGCAGCAAGAACCGACAGCAAAGAGAATCCTGCGACCACAGAGGTGGAGGTCAGAGAGGACAGCCAAGACGATGAGGTTGTTGAGACAAGGAGTCGCAGAAGCTCCAAGACTCAGACCCCTTCTAAGCAGAGGACCTCCCAGGCGACTCCTTCCAGGAGGTCCAGCCGAAAGACGAACACCAGTGAGGTGGAGCCAGCTCCTGTGAAAGTAAAAGAAGAGGACAAAGAGAAGCCGGTTGTCCCTCCTGTAAAACGCAGCTCCAGGAGAATGAGATCAGAAGTGCTGCCAGCTGTGTTTGAAGAAGAAGAGGAGAAAAAATTGCAGCTTCCGAGCCCTGGGAGGGCAACACGCCAGTCCAGCAGCAACACCCTAAACATGTATCCACAGGTAAGAAATCAGCCTCACAAGAAAACCTTTCATCGACATCCTCAGAAATCCTGTTTCTGTTGTAATTTTCATCTGTTCATTATGTTCATCCATTATGTTCATCCATCTTCTACTCACATTTGAAATCCATAGGTCACACTGGTTCCTCTGTCCCTTCCTCAGAGCACCAGGAAGAAGCGACAAGAAGCTGCTATAGAAGTGAAAGAAAGCAAATCTCCTCTAAAGTCCGATTCTAACAAAAGCACTAGTCAGTCCAACTCACGCCGCCCAACTAGAAGTAGGCTTTGGGGCCACACTGAGGAGGATCGGCCCCTGCTGGACTCGCCATTAGAGGTGGACTCTGAAACCCCTGTTGCAGATGCCCTCATCAAGAGACTCGAGGATGAGGAGGAGAAACAAGAAGGTACAAACCAGGCTGCTTTTTAACTTTGAAATGTCTTTTAACAGTCCAGTTCCTCTGGGTTTAAATGTTTAGGGATTCAAAGGCCTGTTGTGTGTAAGAATGAAGACCAAAATGAATATCTGAATTGTTGTCTTTAACACAGGTGGTGCTTTGATAAAGTCAGAGAGAACCAGGAAGAGGAGTACAAAATCATCAGTGAAGGAGCTTTCATCTCAGCCTCCTAAAACGGACAGCCTGGTGCCTGAACCTGCAGAAGAAGAGTCCAGTCCAGGGGAGGACTCGTTTATCTACTCGCCTTCCAGACGGCGGCAAACCAGAGGTGATCTGACCTCCGGCTCCATTTCTTTCACCCATCCATGATTATTTTAAAAAGGGCTGAAGCTAAGCATTGTTTTGCTAATCGCTTGATCTGTTTATTTTTTTTATTTATTTTTTTATTATAACTGGATAGAAAAGATTCCTTTAAAACATTTTTTTTGCAGAATTACACCAGGTTAAACAAAACATTTCCACTTGAGGAGTTCTGGATAAAGGATATTGACAGATGTAAAAATGTATTTCCTAAATTAAAAACTAAATATTTATATGTATTTTTTTTAAACAATTTTGGTATATTTGCTACTGTAAGTAGGTAGCTCTGTCAGCTAAAGACATATTTTAGTCTTTATACTCCATTTACAATTAATCGATTCTAAAATTAGTTGAAGGTTATTTCAATACTCAATCACCTTTGATCTGATTGTTTCAGTCCTCTTTTGTAACCTTGTACCGTTTCTCTGTTTCAGCTCATAAAGCAGAGTTTGCTGCTCCAAGCGAGGACCTGGAAGTACCAGTTACACGCAGAAGAACTAGAGTAAAAGATATTCCTGCTCAGGTAGAGGGTTAAAAACCAGGCAGTATTTTCCTGCGTCCCTTGGTGGTGGTCTGTCTCATGATGTCTGTTTTTGTTCTCTTTCAGGATAAAGTTTCTACAGAAAAGGACCTTCCTGAAGTGGAGAAAACCACCAAACCCAGAAAAGAAAGTAAAAAAACAGCAAAGTAAGAATTGCTTTCCTTTTTTTTTTCTTCGCTTTCAAGATTTATTATGGAACTACATAAATAATGTCTGCTATATTAAGCGCTAATAAAAATTTCCTTTTTTTATTTTTTATTATTATTATTCCCCCCTCATCCTCAGACCCAGAGCGCTTTCAGAGCCTGTTCCCAACGTAGAGGTGGACCTGATCTCTCCGCTGCCTAGTCCAAAGGATCCTCTCCCTCGAGCTCTGACGAGGATAACAGACGGAGAGGCACCCATCACCACTAGGAACCTTCGCCGCAAACGTATAAGGGACGCCGTTTTCTCAAAGCCCGTCACCAGAAGGAGGAAACTTTGAAGATGTCGTAACAACCAGTGAACCTCAGGCAGCCACAGGAAGTTTTGAAGCAAAAATCTGTCGAAAAAAAAAAGAACGGCCTGGACTTAAAATGGTTCTGATTCTTAAAATGCCACATCGTGCTGCACTTCTTCTGGAAGACGGTCTCTGCTGAGAGGATAATGGAAGCTGTGGGAGGGTTTTATTTGTCGGACAAAACGGCAGATTAATAGTGATGAGGATATATTTTTGCCGTTTACATTTCCTTCTCATGCAAACTTGATGTCACTTGATAGGTGATCATTTTGTATCGGGCGTCTTGATTTTGAGCTCTGGACACCCAAAGGCACAGAGAAAAGCCATCAGTGTGGGGGGTTTGAGCGTCCCTAAGGGAAAAAAAAAACGAAACTGATCCCATGAAGAGGTTTTATTGGCAGTCTGATATTTTAAGGATTTTCTTTTTCTTGTTATTGTTTACTTTTAACAGGCCTGTTTTTCTATTCATGAGGAAAAAGGCAATCGACTAGTAGGGATCTATTTCTACTGCTAGATTTGTATATAGTCATTTGTTATGTTCCAAATAAAGTTAATAATTAAATCCTAAGGAATTAAGTTTATTTTGAAGTGTCTTGAATGCATTTGATGATCATATCAGATTGCCTTTGCCAAAGTCTTAAATTCTCAATAGATTTTGGGAGATTTTGTGTGGAAAAATGCTGCTGTTGGCAGATCTGGGAGAGATGTAAAGGAGAAAAGATGCACAATTAACAGATGTAAACAAAGCTCCGGAGATTGTTTAATGCAATTTATGGCAAAAAGCATCTGATTCAGACTATTTTCTGATGAATGTATGTAGAATGTCTTATTTTTGATGACTGCTCTTTGATAAATACAGCTTAACTTAAAAACAAAAATCTCCTTTCTGTTTTTTTTCTTCCTGCTGTTTTGGGTGAATGTGTGATGAAAAACTGTCTCAATACAAGGCTAGAGCTACACACATTTCTGCACAGACAATAGAAATGTTAAAATAATTTTATCATGTTGCCTCACCATCTTTTGTCTCCTATGCTTAATAATATCAAGGCTGGTCAACTCTTCTAGCAAAGGTTAATACGTTTCAAGCTTTACAATCAATACTCAAGATAAAGATGTGCTCAGGTATAAAATGTCTTAAATCTAGTCTAAAATTTACATTCTGTAAGTTTTTTTATACAGCAAGTAAACTGGAGTTTCTGCAAAGTTATGCAAAATCAGGAAATAAAATGGAACATGACAAAGGGGGACACCTGCTGGTCATTTTGTGCAAGTTTTGGGCTCATCTTTATATCAAGTCCAAAATAAAAGGTAATAAATATATAGATTAACTCAGTGATACATGGACGATTTTAAAGTTTTAAAATGGGTTTTAACACCCCTAACTACATTTGCTTATTTACAGCTAATTATACAGCCAGGAACTTAACTACTCCATAAAGCACATTATAAATTTTGAGAAGTTCAAATATTCCTAGTGATGAGTGAATCCAATCATCTGTTTAAGTAACTGGTCTGAAAGGTAGAAAGTAAACTGAACTGAGTTATAATGTGAAGCCTAAACGCTAGTCTAACAGTAGGTGTTCTCTTTTATAATTCATGTTGATAGATCAGGTGAAAGTAAAACCAGCACCAGCCTGCTCTACAACAAAAACAAATAGAAAAACAAAAGGTAAATATAATTTAGAACTGTTTTCTTACATTAAATATCCAATGGGTTCATTACTGATCAAGAATAAAACACAGTGTGCAGTTTAACTTTATCTCCACATGCAAGCTGTGTGATCCTGGCTGCCTACATGTTCCTGTGTAACTGATACAGCCTGTGATGCTCTGCTGCAGGGAGCTGATCTCTGTCCCTGTCTGATACAGCTGCATGATGAGGGCCAAGGCCTCAGACATGCTCAGGAAGGACTGCGTCAAAGTGGCGGTTAGAGTGCGCCCATTCAACAAGGTCAGTGTGCTTTCTTTTAGTTTCTATCTTCAGTATTGATGTTCCTGCATAGGTGTGTCTAAAGCCCCTATTTTCAGGTACTGTAAAGGAGGATGTTATTTAACTGAGAAATGGGCTATGAAAACATAGATAAGACTTTCATGGCACATATTCTAAGATATGTATTTTAACTATATTAAAACAAATTTCTTCTGCATCATGTAGAATAAAATATCTAACAAGGATAAGATATAAGGGCAAGGAAAAAAATCCTCATTAGGCAGCAGCCTAATGAGCAAATGCAGAACAGGTGTGACAGTGGGAGCAGGCAGGACAGGCAGAGAAATGATCCAAGTAGAAGGTAGGTTTGATAAAAGTTGAGAATATTAGATTTAGAAATGTTCGATTGAGCTATTTGACCATATTCTACTGTTTTTAGGAGATTTTGGAGGCCAGACCTGATTTCATTTTAAAATGAATATATGTTTGATGGACACACTTCTGTTCATTTAATAACAGCGGATATTGAAGCTAACTTGTTGGTCCATTGATAACTATAGGCTATATATATAAATTAGTAATTTCTCATAATTGTCTTTGTACAATACAGTGAAGTTATTTTTGCTGTTGGGTTATGTAAAATATTTTCCACTGTTTGCAGAATGAATTTAGCCTTATTCTATGAGATGCAGGCTGCAGTCCCTTTGAAGTATGTCTTTACCATCTTTGCATGTGCACAATCTTTTTCTGCCAAGTTTTTGTGAATTAACTTAAACTTGGTCCGATTAGTGGACAGTGTTATAACAGCTGTTTTAAAAATCTTGCCAAAAATACAAAGCGCTGCTATAGGTCTAATAGGCGTCAATAAAAACATACATCCTTTAATAAAAAAAACATTGTTTGTCTCGCTGCATATTGGTGCCATTTTTACCATTTATATCAACCCCTCTTGCTGTCACTTTGACCAGGCTCTTCGACTGTGCTAAAGAAGAGCTTTCACTTAGCATTATGCTGCCACTACCATGTTTTACTGTGGATAATTTGTTCTGACTGCATTGCTGTTTTTTTTCTACACACATACCACTTTGCGTATTGCAAAAAATGTTTACTTTAACTCTCATCTTACCAGAGCTGCTTCTTCAGAACCATTGTAAAGTTTTAAAGGCTTGAATATTTAAGGTCATCATATGATGAATTGGATGGTGTTCGGTTTATCACTGAAGCCACCTGTCTGAGTTTAAGATTTACATATTTTTCTTATATTTCAGAGAGAGAGGGATGCAGGCAGCCGTTGTGTTATCTCTCTGGTGTCAACCTCCATCAGCATCCAGGACCCTCGTGACTCCCACAACCGACGTTCTTTCTGCTTTGATTATGCCTACTGGTCCCACAGCGGCTTCACCAGAGACCACACTGGTCTCTTTGTTCCTGAAGAGCCAGGGGGACGATACGCTGACCAGGTGAGCTCCCAGGTGACCCGGTGGGACAGACAACCAATATTTACCAGACAGAGAAAAACATTTTGAGCAAAATTTTGGTTAAAAGGCCTTTAAAGTCAGGGTTGCATAGATGAGCATATGAATAATGGCAGCTAATCTTTGAAATCCTAGCAAAGTGTTTTCCAGGATCTTGGAGTGGGAATACTGGAGAACGCCCTGCAGGTAAGAACCTCTCACTCTTAGGTTACCTATAATGTCACTGGGCATAAATTGGCTTAATAAATCAACTCTTGAAAGGGCTACAACACCACACTGCTCGCATACGGACAGACTGGATCAGGGAAGAGTTACTCAATGGTGGGCCACGGGCCTAACAAAGGCCTGGTTCCTAAACTATGTGATCGACTGTTTGAGGCAATCAGAGAAAACCAAGAAAACAGAAAGTGTCAGGTAAGGCATTTAACAGGACATGGCTAGACTTACTGTCATGGTGGTTATATTACCCACAGATGTTGGTCTTCATCTCCTTTTCCTGTAAATCTGATACATGTTCCATGCTGACAGAGAAAATGGACAGTGTGGAATATAGTAGTGTTTAGCAGAAAAGAGAATAAACATGATTTAATTCTAAATCTTTTTTGATGTGTGCTTTAGGTCTTTTTTAGTATGCTGGAGATCTATAATGAGCAGGTAAATATGGGGCTTTTTGAAAAAGAAGTTACTGCTTTTTAAAGTTTACTGGCACTCTAGCTTTACTGTCAGTGGGGCTTTTGCTGCACTGACTGCAAAGCTTATTTTTCTCACGATCTTCTTTCTTTAAAGGTGGTCGACCTGTTATCTCGGGGGTCTCGCACTGCAGCCGGACTTAGAGTGAGGGAGGAGCTGCAAAGGGGCTTTTATGTTGAAGGTCTTCGTAAAATCCCCTGTGAAAATGCTCTGCAGGTAAAAGACAGTTTGTTCCTTAGTTTAGCTTGCAGATGATTAACATGTGGGATATTACTGAAGTTGAAGGGAAAAAAGTGTTAGGGTTACTAAGCCCCTTTACTCTGATTGGCCTAAACTAAAATCCATACCACCAACTGTCTTCAGAAGTCACTTCAATAATAAAACCTGTCTGCTACTGTAATGAGAGAAGCAACAAAAGGGGTCCTTTTTAACTCATGAGGAACTACAGAAACCCACGGCACCGTTGGTTACCAGGACAACTATTGATCCTCACATACAGTGTATGGTACTCTGATCAGAAGGGAACAAAATGTAACATTTTGATCTATATTAAGGATTTCCAACTCCAGTTCTGGAGCACAGGGTCCTCCATGTTTTAGATTTGTTCCTGCAGAGCTGTTCCACAAAATTTAGAAATCCAAGACTAGAGATAAAGTCAGATTGGAGCAAGCATTAACTGTTCATCTTTGCTTTATCTGTTTCACAAAGGCCAAGTCAGGCTCAACAAATGCAGCCTTGTCAAGCAATGTGTAAGTTATCAAGCTACATGCAGGTCTGCAGCTTTCTTCAAGAAGCTCTAAAGTCAATCGTAGATTCACCAAAGCGGCAAACAATAGTCCATTGTAAAAAATTGAAATCTTTTTTCTTAAAATAAGTGCAATTTGTCGTTCATTTAGGAGATAAGACTGTTTGCAGATGGAACAAGACAATTTACATTTAAAATAAATAAATAAATAGTGCATATTATCTAATTATCTTTTTTAAAGATTAAAAATACTTAATCCATTTGCAAACCATATTATTTACCCAATCAAATTAAGAGTAAATACACTTATTTTAAGAAAAATGTTACTATTATAACCTCTTATTTTGAATGAAAACTTTATTCTAAAATGCTTTCAAGCACCAGATATAATTTATCATTTTAGCTTTTGCAAATCCTGTTATTATTTATTCAAACATCACTGAATGACTGAAGAGAAAATGTAACATGACCCAAACTTGGAAGCACATCTAAGATTTAAATTTTGTGTTTCATTTAATTGTGATTATATTGCAAATGCATGTAAACATTGTCAACAAGCTCATTCAATTGGGTTGTTTCTAAGTTAGTTTTATAAATGAATCTGACTCCACTGTAGGTGGAGCAGTTGATGGAGCAGGGGACCAGGACCCGAACCACTGCTGCCACTCAAATGAACGCCAACAGCAGCCGTTCTCACATGCTCATTATTCTGCAGCTCAAACAGGTAAAACATTTTCATGCTTTAAAGAACCAATGAACAACCACTTTGAGAGGAAATGGTCTGAGCCGTTGATTTGATGTCTAAAATAACATTTAAGTCAGTTTGTTTCAGGTTTGTGTGTGCCAATTGGAGCAAACTGTACAAACCACCTCTAGTCTTAATGGACTAATCCATGTCCAGTTTTATCAAATTAAACTCAATTTATTCCAAACTAACAATATTAAATTATTTGATTCATATCCAGCTACATTTAATGGAAGTTTATCCTGTTTCTACTGTTCAGCCACTCAGCTGACTGTAATGCCATCTGGTAGAAAGCAGTGTTTTATAGAAACCCAGCCAATTACATTGTTCAATTAACACTAAGATAATCGCACATCCTGAAGACGCACAATATATTTTCAATTATTCCAGACTGACATTTATATGTAACATTTTTAACTAATTTTATTATAAAAGTTGGTGTCAATTTTTTTATTATCCTAATTGTTTCATTGCATTTCTCTTTGTTAAATTGTTACCTGTTTTTACTTTTACATAATTTTTGTTACTTTTTCTTGTCGTATGTCCAGTTTTTTTTTTTTTTGTTGTCCCAGCTACACTTTAAAATATAACAATCTCAATATTTTTTGTCAGGATAGGATTTCATTTTTTTTTTTTTTTTCTGATCGTCATGTGTTTAGGGCTTGCATTGTCTCCTTTTGCTTTTTAAATGTGAGAAAGTTTTAACTTTAAACTACCTAGAAGAGGTGATTACTTTTTATTCCTGTTTTTTTTTTCAAAATCGAGCCTTTGATAACATTAAATATTAGCCTTGTATTTCCCTTCTGTAACTTTTATTTATAATGGTTTTATGACTCGACTATCTTCATTAGATCTTTTCCAAGGAATGCATCACGAAGCAGTCCAACATCAACCTGGTGGACCTGGCTGGCAGCGAGCGCCAACGATCCTCCGGCTCTGAAGCAGACAGACTCAAAGAGGGAACAGCCATAAACCTGAGCCTAACCACTCTGGGCAACGTCATCAGGTTGACTATTTCTTTGGGTTTCCTTTTTCTCTCATGTTGCAGAATCTGTCCGTTTTCTCCACATTCTTTTTCACCCTGCAGCGCCCTAGCAGATGTTGCTGTGGGAAAAAAGGCGGTCCACATTCCCTACAGAGACTCGGTTCTCACCAAGTTGCTGCAGTCTGCACTGGGGGGAAACAGTCGAACTGTCATGGTAAACTAAACACTCAGAGATATTGATATGAGAGAGAGTTGGTCGACATGAGATGTCCAAAACTACAGTTAGAGTTGTCAAAATTAATGATTTATTTAAAATAAGAAATATTACATTTTTTTGTTCGATCCCCTTCAATACCCTGAAAATAAACCTTATTCTGTGAAGGCCTCAGAGGTTAGTTGAAGAACATCAGTGATCAAACAGCATCAGGAAAAGCAAAGAACACATTAGACATGGTCAGGGGATGAAGTTTTTGAGGACAGTTAGGTTATAAAACTATATCTGAAGCTGTTAAAGTCTCACAGCACTGACCTAATTGCTCTGAAAAACAAAAAGAACCCCTAAAGCCACAGCCGTCCATTAAAATGACAGGCCAGACAAAAGGAAAACTCCTCGACCAGAGTTTCAGCTCTGAGGCGGCTTGTGGAAACTCAAAGAGCTGCAGAGACCAACGGCTCACTCTGGAGAATCTAATAAAGCAAACACTATTGATCACGCTCCACATATCTGTCCTTTACAGAACTATTAAAAAGTATAGCCACTAATGCAGGAAGGCCTTAAATATCCTGTTGGCATCTTGCCACAAACAGTCTAGAGGATGCAAATACATATGGTGGTTCAGTTAGATGAAACAAGCCCTGAACTTCTACATCCAAAATACTGAAGAGAAACTAACACTGATTATCATTCTGAACACAACATATCCACAATAAAGCATTGTGGGGGCAGAATCATGCTGTGGGCTTACACGTTTTTGGAGTGAGTTATGTACAAAATAATGACTGGAGGTAAACCTGTTGGAGCAGAGGTGGCCAATTCCAGTTCCTAAAGTCCAGTATCCTGCAACTTTTAGAAATATCCTCGGTTCAACAGCTGAATCGAATGGCTGAATTACCTCCTCAGTATGCAGTGAGTTCTCAATCATCTTATTACTTGATTCAGATGCATTGAACCAAAAGCTGCAGGATGCCGGCCGCAGGAACTGGAGCTGAGTTACAAGTTGTGAAATTAATTTCTGTATTCTTGATGTAAATTTTAAAGGGTCACATAATGTATAGTAATGTAGCCTAATAAAATGGACAATTGCTTCCGAGTAAAAAGAAATGTAGGGCTGCTCAGGAGCGCAGAGAGTAGGACCCGGGTCTTTCTGCATGGAGTTTGCATGTTCTCCCTGAGCATGCGTGGGTTCTCTCTGGGTAGTCTGGCTTCCTCCCACAATCCAAAAACATGACTGTTAGGTTAATTGGCTTCTCTAAATTCTCCTTAGGTCTATCACATTAACCATCATTAGAGAACCCTGCTCTATACTGTTGGACCAGAAGACATTAATAGAAATGCCCTCCACACTTTAAAATCTTTTTGGGAAAAAATAAAAACAATTTTCGTTGTAATTCAGTTATCCGTTTTTTTTATTTTTTATTTTTTTGACAGTTGTAAAAATGCACTAGTGTGAATACTTATGCAAAAAAATGTGATAAACTGATTTGCAAAATGTATTTCAAGATCGCCACTCTAAGTCCTGCAGATATCTGCTATGAGGAGTCTCTCTCTACCCTGCGCTATGCTGAAAGGTACATTAATCATTTAGAATTTGATTGGAAATTAAGATTTGTTTGGAAATCAAGATGAATGGTTCTTGTTTGTAACACACTGACATATTAACATCTATTCTTCAGGGCAAAGCGTATCCAAAACAGGGCAGTGGTGAATGAGAGCCCCACTGAACGCCTTGTTAAAGAGCTAAAGGCTGAGAATGCCAGACTGATGCAGAAACTGAGCCGCATGGAGCAGGAAGGGCGCAGAGCCAGTGACGAATCCAGTAAGAATCGGAGCACCATTCACCTGGTATAGGCCATGGTTGGTGGTCCCATTTATTATTTAGCTGTTTCCAGAGGAACTTCGTCAGCTGTTGACCCAGAACGAGCTCCAGATCAGAGCTATCCAGACCCTTTGGGAACAGCACCTGCAAGAGGCGCTCAAAGACTGGGAGCAGCAGTATGCCAGTATTACACAGGTGCAAACACAGTTTCTAAGGAGCTGTGAAATAAATACATTTGGAGGATAGAAATGGGCTTTTAGTGATTATTATCATCTTAGGCAAAAATGATTCATTGTTTTAATGATCCTTTCTCTTTCTTTCTTTCTTTGTGTTCTTGTCTCTGACACCAGGAGAGGAGGATGATGCAGACGTATCCCTACATCCTCAACATCAATGAGGACGCGCAGCTGTCAGGGGTGGTAAAGCTTTTTATTCAGGAAGGTTGGTCTTTTCTTTTAAATATAAGATGTACTCTGCCTTATATGATATGTTATTTAGGTCAAACACCACCCAATCCTTTATAGAGCAGCCAAAATGTTTTGTAATCTGTCCTTTTACTAACAGTCAGTGCACGACTGTATGTACAGATATGATGTATAAACGGATCTTATTCCAATGTTCATCAGGACTCTGGCAGCAGCATTACTGATGAGCCTGAGGAAAACAAAAAAGTAACGGGTGAAGGGATCATGCAAATATATAATGTTGAAAAATAATATTCTTTAGTAAATCTGAAATTTGTCTTGCATCATCATTAAAATTGAAATTATACACTAAAATGAGCAGACGGGGGTGCTGCTATGGCATGGAGGTAGAGCACATGACCCATGTGTTCGAGTCCTGGCCCTGTGACCTTTGTCGAATGTCTCTCCCTTGTCTTTTAACCCACTTTTCTGTCTCCATACTTTAGAAAAAAACAAAATAAAGGCCACTAGAACCTAAAAGTAATCTAAAATGAGCAGACAATTTCAAGATGATTTATGTTCCATGTGCAGTTCTAGGATTACCTGATTTACAACGCCGTTTTTCATAAAGCAGCACCTAATGGACTTCTTCATTATGGGCAGTTTTTATGACCATCAATCATTTTTACATGTCTATCATTCTTTCTATTCATTAACACAGCGTTAGGTACAGGGTTTTCTAGTGCATCGAGGGCAGTTAGTAAAACTGCATCATCAATTTTTTATTTATTGATTATAATATATTTTTACAGCAGTTATTGGTGTAAAGTCTGAACAAGAGTCAAATCTACACATCTAAGGGGAGCCCCAGTATTAGTTTCCATTACAGATAATAGTTTTTCTTTTCTAATCTAAATTACCAGAAGTAGATGCACATAGTTTAATTTTTTCTTCTTTTAGAAGAGGTCTTGGTTATTGCAATATTTAAGCTTGGATTGGGCTGATTTAATTTCAAGTAGTTCATGTTAATTTTAACATTTTACTCTGTGTTCCGAGCTACTAGAAATAAGTTTCTCCCTTCTGACCTTTATAGTTTGAGTCTAGCTTCACCTGGATCATTAACCTTGCATGATGACCTCTGTCTGATCTTCAGTAAACTGGAGCCAACACTGAACAATTGTATCCTGGAGATCCTTAAGTTTAAACTGTAAGGAACTTTAGCCATGTAGGGACAGAAATATAAAGTCTTGTATTGCAAAAGATGATGTAATTTACCTTAAAGTGGAGGATGGATACGAAGAAACATCACATGGCAAATTACACAAAGAGGCTATGTGTCCCTTTTAAATAAGGATAATAAACCAGAGGAGAGGTTTAAACAAAAATAGTAGGTTGAAACTCTTGTTGTTGTTCCAGGCGAGTGGGACATCGGGCTTTGTGACTCCTCCCCCAGATCAATTTCTATCAAGGGCTTAGGGTAAGTTTTTGTTTTTATCAGTCTGGGATAAAAAAAAAAAAAACAGAAACCAGCAAGCTGAGATGGGTAGAGTGACACGAGAGATGGATGATTTTAAATGTGATAAAAAAAAATAAAAAAAAAAACACCAAAAAATAGATCACAATGATATGTGTTTATGTGCTAGGATCCAGGAGCGTCATGCTGTATTCAGGAACGAACAGCGGAGGGTAACGCTGACTCCACTGATGGGGTCAAAAGTTATCATCAATGGAAACTCTGTGTACGAGGCGACTGAGCTGCAACACTTGGTTTGCATTTGTTCACATTTATTATTCATCTGTGGTGGATATTAGATATAACGATATAAGAAACTTTCTACAAAATGGATCAAATCTGAAAGGTTGACATTATTCCCAATCATTTCTTTTAGGACCGTCTCATTCTGGGTTCTAACTCTACTTACCTGTTCATCGGTTATCCTTCTGAGAGGGGTGGGGAGGACTGGAGTCGCTATGATTATGATTACTTCCAGTCAGAGCTGGCTGCTGCAGAAGGCATTCATCTGGGTAGGTAACAGGATCACTCTTTAGATTTAAATGTATTGTTTTTCTATGTGGAACATTTTTGTTTTTTAATCTTTGTAAAGGTGATTCCACCGCTGGTTGTAGCCAGGCAGATCCCAGTCTGTTAGCGGTCTTCTATGACTACATTAAGCTGATGCCCATGGTGGCTGAGGCCAATCAGATGAGCCAGGAGCTGAGTAAGGTAACTTGTAGACCCCTGCTGTCACTCTTCACACTCCCATACATCAGTAATTGTTAATGGATTTATCAATTTATAGGGGGTGGAATTTAAGCTTGAAATAAAAAATCTGGCCCTGTCGGACTCTAGAGGTCACGATCTGCAGAAAGATATTGTTGTCAGAGTGACCTCAGCAGGAAGCAAACAGGTAGCGTTTCCTCTCCGTTCTCTGAGTACACTGGTAAAAGTTTTTTTTTTTTGGTTGCTGAAAAACTTTTCTGAATGGTTTGACTTCTTATGTTTTGCAGGTCTGGATGTGGTCAAAAGCCAAGTTTGTTAACCGCAAGTTTCTAATGGAGGAGGTCTATCAGCAGTTCAAGGCTGCGCAGCATGAGGACAATGTGTGTTTGCAGATAACATTAACATGTTTCTCACAATACAGAGATGTTTCTTTTGACTTAAGCATAAAACTGTGCATAGGCAACACATTTAATGGAAGGTGACAAATCAGGAGAGAAAATAATATTTATAAAAATATGTGCACAAGCATCTATTTAAATTTTTGAGCAGTTACTCAACTTTTACCATGAGGCTTCTGTGTTTGCTGGTGTTAGAGAGCAGAGGATCCTCCAGCGGTTGTGGTACCCAGAGATAAAGACCCATTTTGGGATCCAGTTGAGCCTGTGCTTTTGGGAACTGCTCACCTCTGGCTTCAGTCTTTGGCCTTCCGCATTCCTCTGGAAGAGCAACTGGAGGTACTCACGTTTGCTTCATACAAATGTATAGAACAGTCTGTGTCATTGAATCCAACTGTGTTTGCAGGTGTTGGGCTCAGAGGGAACAGAGGAGGCCATTCTACAAGCTCAGCTCGTCCCATGTACCTCCTCTGCACAGTATGACGCAAACACAAACATACTTTTATAATAGAGCACACAGGAAGGTGTTTCTAAGGAATGCTACTTTCCAGTCCGCTGGGAGAGGACAACATCCTGATTGACCCGTCTGAAATATTGGGACGACGGCTGGACTTTCAACTGGTCCTGGAGCAGTGCTGTGGGGTTCGCTGGATCAGGGAGGCCCGGAATCGTGGGATCCAAATTGGGTGAGGCTAAAGGAAATATGTAAAGCATCATGAGGGCCCAGACATCTCTTAATTTTCTCCTCTGTGTTAGTTACAGGGTGTTTGATTGCAGTGAGCCACTCTACACTCCAGCTGTGTGGCATAACATCAACCCTCTGTTAGATCATAGGGTTCAATTCACCTCCCTCCAAACATCCCAACATCTGCTGGACTACCTGCAAAGCAGTGCTGTGGTGCTTGAGCTCTGGGGTCTACAAGGTAAGAAAGGAAAAGGATTGCAGCATTAAATTGGCCATAATGAAGTACCATGCACACTGTATGACACACACAATTTCTTAAAGGGTTTTTGAAAAAGTTGTATTGAATAAAATTAATTGGCAGCTATACCACAAGATGGCTGCTAATAGGAGAATGGAAAAGTTCTTTAAATAAGATTTACTGTAAAAAATTATAGATAAAAATGTTTATGAATTATTTATTTTTGTATTGATCTATGCATTATCCTGTATATGAATATATCATAAAAACTGCTATACTGCATTGTTTTCCTATCTTAGAGGGTTGTAATCCTTTGAATTCATCACTGGAAGCTGTGAGAATGACTACAGAGGGCTTCTTCATCCTCGACGTGTTGAGTCCACCAGAAGCTGCAGTAAGTTTGACATTAAATGATCTCATAAATGCTTTGGGGCAAAATGTTGATTTAGATTACATTTTGTTTTTTTTACTTTTTGTATGCTTGCAACAGCAAAAACATGCCTGTATGTTTCCATATTTCTTGTTTTAGCTCCTTTAAACACTTAGTAATTTAGTTACAGACTCAAATTCTTATATTGAGCGAAGACAAAATAAAATGAAAATAATTTAAAAAACTGAAAGTAGAAAAAACTAACCGAAACTACTAGTATTTTCTCTGATAATTGTCCCTTAACCTGTCCCATCTAACCTATCTAGATCTACCAACCTTTTTAGACAGGTTCATTTTATTTGATCCACATTGGAGAGTTTTTGAGTCCAGGCATTTTGGGGAACCTGGTGCCTTTTGGATCAATGTCCTTCTGCAAGACTTAAACCCTTTTAGCTTAAGAGAATACTTCCTCACAATTTTCCATTTTTTCACATTTATGGTTTTATTCACCCATTTTCTGACATTTGAATGTCATCTTGATGTTTTTCTTGAATGCCGTTTGTTTCACATCTGCTGCCAACTCGCATGAAAAAAAACATCTCTTCTAAATAATCATTAATTTGTTCAACCTCCGTTCCTAAATTATTTTAGATTGGGGCTTTTTCAGATTGTTAAGCCTCCTCCATGTTTACTTGAACATTATTTATACAATTTTAAAGTGGCAATAATCTGGCCTGACTGCTGGTTTACTTGTTGAATAATGGTTTCTGTGGCTCAGAAACTTTTAGCCTTAGTTTTATTTGAATGAAATTTAACCCAAACTTTTACAATTTTACACAAAGCACTACATTTGGTCGGATACATTTTTTTCCCCTTGTGATATAAAATTGTCTGATTTGAAAAAATATAGGAATAATTGGGAAAGCGAAAATCGAGGCCTACAAATCCACTCTAATACTGCTTTTAATGCTGCAGCTATATGACTTTGCTGAGCTCAGCTGTTCAGTCAGAGCTCTTCAACAGGACGTGAATAAACTAAAGAGTCTTAATAAATCACTAAGGAAAGAAAATCAGAGTTTGAAAGAACAACTCAACACAGCCAGGAATGGTAAGTCAGAAATGCACAAGAAACACACTTTTTGTTGTTTACGATCTGCAGTGTTTCCTGAAGGCATACAGTGCATGTTTTCTTTCTCTGGGTTTAGGAGGAATGGAGAATGTACGTGGTCGCTCTCTGCGTCCCAGCTGTGATGCAGAGTTTGCACGCGCCCTGAAAGTTTTCTACCACAGTATGACTTCTGTTAAGGGTCATCTGCAGCGCCTGCGCAGACACAGACCCAGTGTATGTACACACATCTTTTAACTGAAATGCATGAATAAAACTGTTGACGGTTGTTCAAACTATACGCTGTTTTGCAAAGGATGTAGGGATTGTCCTGCGATTGTTGGGTTCCTGGTTCGAACCTTAGCTCGATCCATCAATCATTGGGTCCCAAAGCAAGATACTTCCCCTCTTATTACCTACTGATGGTGGTCAGAGGCCCTGATGGCGTCAGTGTATGGAAGCCTAATTTCTGTTAGTGAGCCCCAGGGCAGCTTCACCATCAATGTGTGTGAATGACTGAACTTTGGGAGCTCAGCACAGACTTCAAAGGGCGCTTTACAAGTACAGCCCATTTATCACTTCAACTGATGTTGCATATTTTGCTCTTCTTGTGTTTTCATGTTTGCAATTAAATTGCCTTTTTTGTGCTGTGCTGTTTGGCTGTGTTCATTTTTTTATAAACTGATGTTGCATTTGCCCTCTAGGAGGAGTCAGACCTGCTTGGACTCAGGCTGTTTATGGACGAGCAGTGTCGTCTGCTGAGAGACTTCTCAGAGCTGCTGGAGGAGAGTGTCTCTAAGCTCAAACAAGACGTTGCTGCCATTGTACGTCGCAAAAGAGAACGTTCAGGCATTTGGTCCTAGCTTTGCTTTCTGTTGATTTAAAAGGATATTCAAACTGTAAGTACCAGTTATCTTTACCTCCCAGCACAATTGAGGTTCCTAATCAAAGTATTGTTGTTCAGTCACATGCAGATATGATTCTAAAAGTGTTGAGATGTCAATCATGACACAGAAAATATTCAAGTCTTAAATGTTTATTAGACTGCATGAAAAAGCTTTATCAGTACAGCTGCAAATAAATTAAGTATTAAAAATCACAATGAACATTTTTACCCTCAGAGTTTTAAGCTATTTTAGTTCTGAGCTTTTTTTCCCTCATGCTTCACTGTTAGTGGTTTATAAAGACAGACCTGTGTGAATGTTTTTTTTTTTCTCCCCTCGAATAAAAATGTCCCATGTTGAGGAAAGCACTCTGGTTATGCATGTAAGCAGTTATGGTAAAGTACAGACAATTGCTGTAGGTCCAAAAAATGTAAATAGGAGCAGAAACGGAAGGCAGATCAGTCATCATACAGGAAATCTATGTACAAAGTAGATGAAGGCAGATCAGCAGACTGGGCCCATTTGTTGAACAGCAATCTCAGAATTTGCTCAGTCTTGATTCTTATGTTTTTAATTGCTGCTAGTGATAGAAATGGAGTACACAAAGACGATCAGAGGCAGATGTACGTTAGGTGTTTGAACTAAAGAGGTAGACTTAAACCACAAAGCGAGCGGTCACAATTTACTGTGTCTGAGCACTTCTTCTCTTAGGAGAAAGCACCCAATGATGTGAATACAGAACAAGAGAAGGCTGAAGGTAAAGGTGAGGTAGGTTAAAGGTCAAAGGATAAGGAGTTAAACTGTAAAACCAATATTTACAGGTTCTTTGTTAGATTTACAAGCAGAAGATAAAATGTCAGAGCCAGTAAAATGTAATGAATGTTCCTCTGCCAATTATCTACACCCATTGAGGCAGGCCTGAAGGCAAACATGTACAGGGTTGAATATTACAACACTCCTAAAGATCTAGTCCTATACCTGTCAGTCTTGTACTCAGCATGGTTTTTTTCTAAATTAAATCAACTATTTTTAGACGAGTGAAGGCTTTTTTTTTTTTAGGTAGATTTCAGTCCGATCCTTTTAAGGTCCGCAATTTTTCACATTCATTTAAAATAAATTCACTGAATTTATAGTAGGTATTTCAGAGTTAAATGATTGAAGCATAAGCAGCACATCACCAGTTTGCACTGGTACTTCTACATTTTCTCCTGCTCATTGGCAGTCAGAAATGTCTCTAAGGAATTCATCTGGTTACCACCAGTGATAGTTTGAGAACCCATCTTTGTTCTGGGTCGTCCAAGTCCTTTTTTGTTAAACTGTCCAGCTAGTTTCAGATGCATCCTCTATCAAAACAACTGAATTTCCTAATTGGCATTCAGCTTTACAGAGGTTTGTTGAGCCATTCATTTGGTGCAGCTCTAGTGGAGAATGGATTCATCTAGAAGCTGCAGGTTAGCAGCTCTCAATGACTGGACTTTAACTCCCCCTGGTTTAAATAGATCTTATTTCCAACATCTGTTATAATTCAAATCCCATGAAAGTTGTGCACAGACATTAGCTCACTTTTTGATAATTTCAAGGAAAACATTTTCAGTCCATGTGTCCCTCTACACATGCAGTGTTGATGGTATAACAAAAATATATTAAAGAAAGAAGAGGTCCATGTTTACCTAAGAAGCCACACAGAGATGAGAATAGCTGAAGTCCAAAAACAAGCCACCTTTGTGACACATCTTACCAAGTAGACAGTTTCAGATAGTTACAAAAGCAAACTCAGCAGTTACAAATTTCACATCAGTCCTATGGGATTAGGATTCTGACAGTGCAATGGCCTTTCTCCTGACTACATTAACCCAGTTCTCTGTTCAGTGCAAGTTCTCGTCTTCCACAATTTTCCCCGAACACCTAAAATGATAACGGGTCTAAAGGTCGTGGATTGGTTCTAGTGAAACTGAAGTCATCCCATATCACCCCTCTGTGCTTTGAGCCCAAATACCATGAATGGGGTGGTTAATCCTTTCCTGAGAGCTTTCTTTCAGTATTCCTCTGTTGAAGGACCCTTCAGGCATTGGTTCCATCCTTCTCAGCAGCTTGGCCATCACTACCCATGGTTCCATGGGTGATGAGGGTCGGCGAAGCCTCTGATATATCCCTCTGGCTGCTGTGCCTCGAGTAGCTGTCCATCTTATGCAGGCTGCTGTGAGTGGAGAGTGGATGGTCGAGCCGGGGCATGCTGCCATGGAGATTACGGTCCGGTGTACCACGGTGAGCTAAAGAATCACTCCTAAGAGATGTAGAGATTCACAGGAGTGAGGACAGAAGCAAGGCGCTGAGGGAGTGATGCGGTAGCTCGAATTTTCTGATCTACCTGTCATCTCGAGTGCGGCGCAGGCTGCCGTGGTAGCTGGCCTTGCTGTGAACACTGCTGGGCTTGCTTCTGGTTGATGTGGGGTGTCCATGGTGAGTCCTAATTGGTTCATCCAGATCTTCTAGAGCTGCCAAGTGGGTGGAGGATGCATGGGTGGAGGTGCCCTGCAGAAAATTTCATACATTGTCTAAAATAAGCATGATCGAAATTACATTTAAATCAGTACATCTTTAAACTCCACTGATTTCAGTTAACGGCAATGAAATTTACAATTATTAGCATTTTCTCGTGAAGTGCTCCATTACTATCTAGACATGTAAGCCAAATATTATCTTTTAACCCTTGACGTGAAGCATAATAGATTTTACAGAAGACTTGGAGATGTTTGTGACATGTCTGACCTCTAAGAAAGCTTCTGATGTGGTCCCTAAATACTAACTTCTAAATGAGGGATTGCATTTGAATCAATGAGTCGATGCAATCAACTGGTTTTCCTTAGATAAAAAAAACTTTGAATCGATTTGACTGTATGATCTGGTTGAACTGTAAAGTGCTTTGAGATGAGCTGTGTTGTGAATTGGCTCTATATAAATAAACTGAATTGAATTAAATCCTCAGTGTCCTGTTTGAATATCTGAAAAATCCAACGTAGATTTGTTAATGTGTGTCCTGAAGTCTGTGACCATACTGTGTTTAACAGTTTCAGCTTCTTCCTGCAGCCTGACAGAGACTGCAGACTACAGTCCTACCTGAGTAGAGGTCCCTCTTGACTTCCTTATGATGGGGGTGTTTGGTTCCCGCAGTAGAGACTGAGCAAAGTCTGGCTGCTCCTGCAGAACCTGACGGGACTCATTCACCCCACTGCTGCAGAGAGACCAGACAGGAGGATGTGTTTATTTCTATTAATCCTTAGGACCATAGAAATGTGTGGAGGATAAAAATAAAAAACGGATAGTGAAGTTAGATGTATGGGAATAAACACAGAGAACATTTCTCCAGGTTTAAAAGAGTATTTTTATGTAAGAATCTAATCAATATAATAGTTTTTCTATATCCTAACAATGTACTGTGACCATCAAATCCTATACGAGTAAAGCCTCCACTCCTATCCACTGATAAACGCTCCTATTTTAACAAACATCTCATTTCATCCATTTTCTAAATTTAACCCAAATTCTGCTGAATAGAAAAAAAAATGTTTTTACTAAACAATTTTACATATTTGTAGCACATGTCTTCAAAAGTTGCATTTAGGTGATAATATGGAGAATTATAAACGTGAACCTTCAGACTACTTACTCTTTGCGCCTGCGTCCATGCAGGAAGTTGGCCCATTCAAAGCATGTCTTTTTACTGCCGACCCAGAAAACCGAGGGAATCCCAACTACCAACATCATCAAGTATTTGATGAGAAACAGAACCATAGCTGGTTTGCTGGTCTCCTCAACCTGCAGGGGTGAAAATATTAAACCATTAGCTCCTAAATGAGACCTTCAGCTTTGTAGAGACAGGGGTGTTCAATCATAAAGCATTTGTCAAGTTGATTATTTTCTCAAGGTTTCTCAAGACCTGGGAACCTGAATGCCACTGAAACAAGAGACCAAGATGACCAAAGTATTAAGCCCTGACATTTGTTTTGATCCTAGTCAGTCATTCAGGATGATTGAAGACGAGCACAAATCCAAGTAAAACCCCACCTGCTCCAACAGCTGAACTTCAAACTGCTTTAACAGCAGCTTCTTTTATCTTTACAGAATGAGAATTTAGCCACAGCTCCCTGTAGAGGGCAGGATTTTATTAGATCCAACCTTCTGCTTTGCAGATCTATTTATTACATAGAAATTCCAGAAAATTATTTGAACTTTCCCTTTTTTTTTTCCTCTCACTTCACTGAAACATCTGGATATCGTGATAGCTTTTCTCAACAGATTTAAATTTAACTTTTACTCAATTGTTAGGAGCTAAAAATCAAAACATCGTATAGAGCAAATGTGATTTTTAGACCTATTTGTTTTTAAATGGTGAGCTGTTGAGATCTTTAACATTTCATGATGCTTTTCCCTTCATGATATACATAAACTCCTAAAGAGAGGATGTCTTCAGGCAGCACCAGATATTTCTTGCTTACTGGAACTAGAGCAACTGAAAAATATTCATTGGAACATTTTGTTATTAAAATATATCTCAGATTGCTTAGAGTATAGAAGAAAGCACAAGCTGTTGCCATCAAATAAGCAAGAAACAGAAACATGATAGATTGGCTTTAAAATAAGATTATCTGAGCAAGATTTAAAACGGCAAAAGTAAAGAACGTCCCCATCTTTATCCTTCCTTCAACTGAACTTAATATAAATTTGTATTCATCAAAATGAGAACTAAAAAAACACGTATTGTTTTAAGAGGTTTGCAACAGAACGGACGACAAATCTAATTCAGGTACTTTAATAGAGATGGATCCACCTGAAAATCAAGGAATTACAAGATTATTCAAATTTTAGCATGGAAGTGTGTAAACTTTTTAAACATTTGAACTGAACTCAAAATGCGTCAACATCCAATTTCCTTTGAGGGATTTCTAGACTAAAAATAGATTATTCCTGCATTTATGGAGTTAAAAAATAAATTCAGACTTCAGTATTTAACCTGCTGACCACCAATACCAGCTGATCAAAGCAAAATGACAGAATTTATCTGGCTGACTGATTAGTGCATTTCCTAATTCAAACAAAGACTGCTCTTTGTTCACATTGTTAGACTTTGGAAAATAAACCTGGAAATGAGCCAAAAGTAAATCCTACAGTTTAGAGTTATGTAACAAAGAAAATGTAATCACAGGAGGAGCTCGTGCATTAAAGACCTCTGGCCTCATTATCTCAACACACAAAAAGAAACTCAGGATATTTTCTATTTTAAAACCTAAAATAAAAAAAGATTTTATATATATATATATATATATATATATATATATATATATATATATATATATATATATATATATATATAAATAAAACATCAATAAAACATAATATCCAATTTTTCAAAGGCAAAACAATTCGGTCCATCAATAAATCTTTGCACATGTGAGCTACTTTAGGGGAAGGTTGAATGACACCCAGATATGAGGGAATAGCACAGCTAAAACAGCAAGAAGCATGAGGTCACAAACTCACTAGTAAGATAAGCATTTGCACCTGCCTCCATGTGCTCATGTGGCTCATCATTTGGAGGCCAACACTTGTGTAATGTAATTTAAAATGTGCACAATCTGGGGGGTGGGGGGGCATTTTTCTGGTCAATAATTTAGCAGCAGACAGTATAAAAACACTGCCCTCCTACTGCTCTTCATAAGCGCTACAAAGCCCTCATAGACAACAGCCAGCAGAGCATGACTGAGAAAGTCTGAAAGAAAGAGACACCAGCTGAGAAGGGAGGAGAAGGGAAGAAGGGGGAGACCTGAAAATGGGAAAAACAACTGAAAGGGTGTAAGACAAGGAGACAAAGAAGGCTGGAGTAAAACAAAGATTGTAGTTTTTGGGGAGAGTCGGTCTAGAGAGCTGAATTAGGTGAGCTAATGATGCGTACAGCACTCCTGACTCCTCCGCAAATATCTCCTCACTCAGCCGCACACACTCTCACCTACCAGGGTCTGTTAATCACAGCAGCGCCCACACAGACCTCTGACTCAATGACTAGCTTAGAATAGCACAATTCACTTTTGAGTCTAAATTGGGGATAACACTGTAATGGTTTTGAAAAAAAATAAAAGATAAAAAAATAGCTGCATGGGCAGGTGGAAGAGAAAACATCTTGGTTTTCACATAGAGATTTAAAATAAAATACAGCAATGCTCTCCCTAACATGGTTATTTTGACTTCAGCATGAAATCTAGCATAAACGTCTAAATTCAATAATAGGTGTTTAAGTGCCTCTTTAACCGATCGCAGTACTCCTGTCTTTTTCTCCATCTGGAAATATTTCCAAATAAGTACATTTTTATTTAAAACTAAGGCTAAATGCTTCTAAGCCACAGAAACTGTAAAAAACGCCATTAAACAAGTAAACCAGATGTCACAGCTACAGGTAAAGAAGATTCATCAGTTAACACTCACACAAAATAATAAAACTTTAATATAATTTGACACCTGTAGCCTGATGTTAGGCTTTATTAGGGGACATAGCATTTTGAGACTTTTGCTGAATATTATAACTGTATCCGGACCTTTTTTTAGTATCAAATGTTCATGTAACACAATAGACAAAGTATTATGTCTTTTTGTATGACTAGTATTTCAGACATATCCTACATATTGCATGTAGAGTTCTTTGCAGCGGCAATACTATAAACACCGCAAATAAAATGACAGATGCTGTGCAATAAATGGTGTTGCTCAAGATTTCAGAGTTTTATTAAAGGACATTTCTTTTTGAAACATTGGGATTTTATTTTCTGCTGCATTTTTCCCCTTTAGCAAAATGGGACTTTTGCAGCCTTGTTTTTAGATTCCATCTTTAAAACTGGTGGATGTGCTGACTTCCCTCTGCATCCCTCAGGGTCATAACAGCAGATCATCTTCCTTAGTTATTTCCTCTGCATTTACGGCACTCATATCTCCTTCTAGACTTGTAAATAGACTTTCTATACCTTAAATTTCATAGTACATTATACACAACCAAACTTAATAATCAATCTTGGTCAAAGTTTTTGCTTTGGTAAGTATTTAATCCATAGCAGCCAAAAGTAGTTCATATATCCCATATTTGTGTTTTGTCACAAATTCATAGAGGAACTTTTTTTTATTCAGTATTAAACTGCGACGACTGACAGCTGCTATAATCTCTGGTTTTAACAGGATGATGAAGGAGCATATGTATTGCATAAATATCTAAGATTTTAAAGTTCATTATACAAATATTTTGCTTTAAAATTAAGGAGAATTAACACAAGAGGTCCAGAATATCAGATAGAATATCAGATATTAGATACCAGAGTATCTAACTTTGCAAAGATCTAAAAAATGTTTTTTTCTAAATACCAGTCTTTATACACAACTAATAGCACGTGTGCATTTTGGGCATCTTGTTTTAAGACCAAATAATCTGCGTCTGTTGTGGTAGTCAGGTTATCTTGCATCTCTTTAGTTTGTAAGTGTAAATTACAATGATTTTCTTTTTTAACAACTGAGGAGTCGTTTAACAACGATTACTGCCTCTAAAGGCAGGAATTATCCATTAGACTGAATTTTGGACCTTAATATTTCACATAAAGTTAACTGAAAAACGCCTTTTTAGTTTTTGCTTTTTTGTACCACTTGACTGTTTTTAGATCAACAAAGACATTTAATGATAGATTAAGTTAATCAAAGTAAATACAATAATTCCTTATTCATTAAGAAAAAGAAGAAACTAACACCAATCATCCCCTACAGGGAAACTAAATACCCTCTTTTTGAAATCACAAATACATTTAATACATTTTTTTATAAAGCCAAACCCACACTAGATTACAATAAACAACATGTAATGGTTAAAAAAAACTGGCTTCCATCAGTCTTGAATTACTTATCAAGCAATTTCGGAGACTTTGAGGCCCCGTCCACACGAAGTCAAAACGAACACGAAACGCTGATATTTTCCAAAA